ATGAGCCCCAATCATCAGCACAACGTATGTGGGGGGGAAACGTCCACGCGTGGCACGATATCCAGTGTTGGAGGTCTTGGTACACGGCCTCTGTGGCACAACGGGGGGGGGGGGCATGAAATAAAAATGCAGAGCTCGGGCCGCTTCCCAAAAGGGCTTTGAGTGCCTGCTGCAGGTTTTTTTGAAGGAAAGAAAAGCACATTGCTCCTGAGAGCCTGTCGGGCCAGCGGAAGTCTCAGAGCTACTTATGTTTGCACTCGGAAACAATGATGTAAAAGCTTTGATAATTCATCCACACGCGCACACACAAAAACAGCCAAATCGGCACAAACAAAACATCAGGAATAAAAGCACTCCTTTCCTCCGCTTCATGTAGCAGAAATCCGTACGTCGATCAAACGTCGATGCTGACGAAGCGGCAAACGCGACCATCGAGTTACGAGCGTCCGGCGGGAGAAGCAGAGGGGCGTGAAAGAAGCAGCGGAGTCGCTGGCGGTGGAGCTCTAAATGAGCGCGATGCTGATTCGCTTCATCTGGACGACTTGACGAGCTGTCGGCGGTGAGGATCGCAGTCGCTGACCCCGGCGCCATCGTGACAACTGGTGCAAGGCCGGGCGCGGCGCCTTAGCAGGCTGATTGACGGACAGCTTGAGAAGTCATGGAGCCTAAATGGCCGACAGCGTCACGGTTATAATTCTAAGCACAATAAGCTGTCAGCGGTATTATTACAAGAATCAAACAAGTAGCAGACCTGACTTAGCTTCTTTCTATTATTACCTTAATAAAATGCTTAATTCATGCATTCATTAATGTAGAGGAAAACAACGACATAGCAGTTCATCATCAAAGTGACAAAACCACGATAGAGTTGCTTCTTTAAATGTAATTTAAAATGTACTGTAATCATAAAAACAATAATCAAATATTCTGATTGGCCGCGACTCGTCACGTGACGTTTGAACAATGTAACCCGGCGTACGGGAACGCACAGGTGTCCATCTACAACGTATAAACCAGTCGAGTCTCTTCTAGAACATTTTAAAAGTAATTCGGAAAATTGAAAAAAATTGCTTTTTGTATGAAAAAGGTGGTTGGTATTTTGAGAAAGGACTCTCCGAGTGTCCCGCCCACCGCGCAGTTCTTTGTGTCACTACTCTGGGGACTTTGAGTCCACGTACACGCGCGCCATTGGCGAAGAACACAGCGGCCTTCCGCCCCCCGGAACAAGCGGCTACACGGAAAGTACACGGCGGACCGAGCGCGGAACGCAAGAAGGTGGAAACCGGCGGGCTGAAAAACACCTCCGACGAAGAGAGAGAGAGAGAGAAAGGAAGATCAAAGCCATTTTGAATTCGTCACCCGGAGAGAGGAACACTTTACAACCCATTCGCGTCCTTCGTCACCTCGGCTCGGGCGACGCTGTAACAACGCGCTCGCTGCAGCTGACAAGATTCACACCTTCATCAAACACGGCCCACAGAGAGCGGTGAGCGGATCGGAGTAGATGTCGCCTCCAGAGACGGGACGTTAGCGGCGAGGAGGCCCGAATGGACCCAATATAGCTTTTTGAGGTCATTGACAGTGAATGGGCGCGTTACGCAACACGAGATCAAAAGAGCTGAATTAGTTAATCGGGGTGCCTTTCATCGCCGATTGTTTCCCGTCATTTCTGGCTCTTCTGTCCTCGTTAAAGCAGCTTCAGCAATTAGAGAGAGAGGGGAAAACAACAACAACAACTAACTAACTAATCCTCCACCGCGCGTTGTTGATTAGCTCCCTCCGTACAATCACGCACGCACACGCTTAACGTGGCAATGCAAAGAGGAAGTCACTCAAATATTTCTCGTTTCTTTTTCTTTTATTATTGCATTTGGTTTCAGCGGCCATTACTCTGGTTATGTGACAACTCAAGATATCCGTAGGAAACGATTTAACGTCAATTACAAAACGGGACGAAGACTTGGATTCATATCACTTGAACAATAAGAATTATTTCCTTCGATTTCCACTAAACGTCACGAAACATGAAAAACCTTTAAGGAAAAACAAAACAAACAAACCCCCCGTCCGCCCGAGAGGGTCACCACGGCAACGGCACCGCTCATCATAAGTCTCTCGCGGCCGTCTCAGTTTAACGACCTGCAACGCCAACGCGCCATGAAACAAAAGCCGGTTTCGGAGCCCACGGGGTGGCCGCCGTTCTCGCGCCTCGGTGTCACGGAGCAAAGGGAGGCGCCGCGGGGCCCATTTAGATGCAACGGGGTCAGTAAACTCCTTCATGAGTCCTTTTGATTTGCATTAATTAACACAAACGTTTGTGGAAAAACAAGACGAGGAATGGAGCGCTTCCAACCAAACGAGGTCGGGTACGGCGTCCTTGAAGCGCTGCACATCCAATTAAACCAAAGGGTTATTAAACAAAACCTTGCATGTTTTATTTTGGGAGCCTGTGTTCCCCTAATGGGATAAAACAAGCGTGTGTGAAATGGTGAAGAAGAACGCAAAACAGGGTCCTAACGGTGCGTTTTCCTCTCTGTGATGATCACAAGAACACAAGGAGAGATTTGCATCGTGGAGAAATAGGAGTCGTGGCTCTTACAGAAAAAGGGTCGCCCCAGCGGACGGATTCGCGGGACGTCCCGTGGCAGCGCCGGGGGGAACTTGACTGATCCTCTCAGAATGAGCGTGGATCCTCTCCGGCTCTCCTTTGTTGGAGCCAATTACTTTGATTCGACTCAAACGGCGGCAGCGAGCATCGGTTCTGGGCAGCCGCGGCGCTGCTTAATTGTTACTTGCTTGAGCTGTGGGTGTGAATCCCCGGGGGAGGGGGGGGGGGGGGGATCTCAAGTTGGGAAAAACAATAAATGAGACAACAAATAAATAACAAAAGACACATTCGCAGGCAGTTAGTCGCTAAATAAGAACAGGAAAACACAGCGGAAATGAGAGCAAAGAAGAAAAAAAGGCAGGAGCGCGTACAGAGCAAACAAAAACACACATTCACATCACTACAGTATCTTAGCAACAGATGCACGTCTATTTCGTGCCGAAGATGAGAAAGTGGGGGAGCCGGGGATGGCGAACGACGGAATGGCGACTATTAAGGAGTGGAGGTCCCACAGAGTCTCGTCTGAACCGGGAAGCCTTCTATTAGATGGTACAAGAATGTTCCTATCAGACGGGGGGGGGATATACACACACACACACACACACACACACACACACACACGCACATTACAGTTGAACCCGCATAGCTGCACCACAAAGCTTTGCAAGCTTCCTGCTTATAAATCTTTCATTCCTCTGTCGCTCTTTTGAAGACGTCGGCTCTTCTTGTGGTGTGTAAAGTGGTCCTATAGGAATATGTGAGGTGGAGCAGAGATGAGGCGCTTACCAAACACATTATGTTTGAGAAACAGATTCAAGCCACTTAGAAAAACAAGCAGAAAAAAAAAAAACTGAACCAAAATCAGTCAAGGTGAATGCAAAGGAGCGCACGCAAAGCGGTTAAATGTAACCGCGTGAAGTTTGTTTGGGGGTCAAAATATAGATTAAGAGGAGGGAAGTAAGATGTGACATTATAAGACCACTTCACTGGGATCTTTCTGTGGACAACACCTCCTGATAAGCTCCACAGACTGGATTTGGACATCCAGATGTTTCTCGCAATAGCAAACAGCGTATTTCAGGCGTGACTCATTAGCAGCAAGCGAAGGTGTCGGACCAGGACTGACCAGGAGACCGAAACGAGGGGGAAGAAGCGTCGTGCTGCTGCTTGCTGAGGCTTGGGTAGCCATGGATACGGACAGAAGTGTGAACCCAAACAAGGTATCTCGGAGCAGAGCGTTTCCCAGATGAGCAACATCTGTATTCTACTTCTCTCCGGAGTGGAAGACGGTGCAGTTCTGTCTGGACAAACACAAAGAGCACTGACAAAAGACCCGTCCTGCCTTAAACCCACCACAGGTGTATGGGGATGTTGTAACCATGACAACATCAAGGCCAAAACAATATCACACAAACGCCGATAAGAAGAAAAGTCTGCAACGACGCACCGGAGACAGAGAACGAATGTCTGCCGGAGAACTAAGGCACATTGGAGTGAGATGTGAATGCGGTATTTTTCTTTGGTCTGGACTAAGAAAATTGATGTTTTCAATATGGAGAAATAGAAAAGACAATTTCAATCAATCAATTTTCACAATTTCAGACAACTGCACGGACAAATAGATGCTACGGATGCAGGAAATACCGCCAATTAACCCGTCAGCTGTGCACAACTCCTCAAAGCAGCGAGACACTCCAATGTGTTCAAAACTCTCCAACTGCCTGCTGTCTGTTTCAAATCCGTCTCCATGGCAACGGATCACACCGTCTGGCATCAGCACAGCTGATGAAGTGGTGTGTTCTGATAATAATCAAAAGGGGAAATAAGACCTGGAGACATTGAGTACATTTGAGAGTATTCTCAAGTGGAGCATCCGTCCTTTATGCAAGATGTGGAGGTTCAGCAGTGAGAGAGGGGGAAACGTGCTAAATATGTGGGCTAAAAACAAAACCGGGGAGAGAGAGAATCGTGTGATAGCCATGTTCATTACGCCGGGTGTTCTTTAGGACTCTGCTGCACTCATTCCATCAAAAAGGGCGGCAGCTCAGCCGTCGTGGGGACGCCGGGAGGCTTTCGTGTATCGCTGCATGTGATTACAACGATTGAGAATCTGCAACGTTCCCATTTCCGTCTCCCTCGTCGTCCCCTCTGATCTAACAACAGGTGGACGGCGCTCTGCGACTCCTCTTTCCTGATAAAAATCCAGGCACGCCCACTTTCTGGCGGTCCAATCAAATGTGTAGGATTTTTCTCTTTTCGAACTCGCCACCACATTTGTCAAACCCGCGGCGGCCCACAAGCATCCGCTCCGTTTCACTGTGTAATAAGACACAGCAGGTCCACCGGGACGAGAACATCATCTCCTCGTCGCCAGGACCCATCCGAGTCTCACCTCGTCACGTTGTCCTCGCCGGAGGGTGTCTGGACGGCCTCCTCCACGCTCATGGCCTCGGGACAGGGCTCTCCTGCTCCTCCTGGTGCTCCGCCTCTCGCCGTCCCTCCAGCTCCTGACCGCCGCTCCCCTCTGCCCGCCGCCTCCTTCCCTCGGCCCTCACTTTCGTTGTCGCTCTCCTCGCCCAAGATGTCATCCACCTGTTTTTTGGTTTTTAAAAAAAGGGAGCTGTGAGAAATTGTTCCCCAAGCGTTGGACTGATGCGTCAAACAGCCTATTGTGCACCAATAATGTGGTGCATTTAAGTTCCTTCAGTCAACAATTTCAGCCAGCGGCGGACTATTCAATTTAGATGAGATTCATTATTTCTCTTTATTTCCACTGAATACAAATCAGTGCTTTAATCATTTTGTGAAAAGAAATACAGCCAAACTATTACAAAAGTTATAAAAAATAGAAACTAATGAAATATATTTAATTATTGTTTCTATTTCAAAGAATCATGATAATAAGCTATTTGCTTTAATTCCCCAGGGTAGTAATTTCCTTTTTACCATTCTTTATGCTAAGATAAGCTAAGCTAAACAACTGCTGGCAGTAGTTTTGTATTTCGTACAGACGAGAGTGGAATCGATCTTCTCACTCGCCCCAGAGATCCAATCGACATACTTCCTAAAAGTGACTTATTTAAATTAGTCATTAAAGATTCCTCACTATAGGTTCCTGGACTTGGACACAGGCCACACATGTTGCATACACATATTTGTCAGATGCAATAAACACATTATATATAATGTTCTACCATTAGAAACCAGTTCTGTGTCAAATACAATTATGTCCATCCGTCTATCGGGACAATCTGCAAGCGATTGACGAGCTGACGCGGTCGCCTCCATCGGTTCCCCATCTTGTATTTTCCTGAGCAGCTGTTCATCTACACTTCAGTTCTACAGGTGCTGCGGATCAGCAGGCGAATGCCGCCAGAGGGGAAGGCGGCGAGCGCGTTGGCCGGCTGGTGGTTGCCCCCCGATTCCATTTCGCTGAAACAGAGTTGAATGAGGAAACGACCCTGCAGGGCATCCACCAATTGCAAAGGAGGATACGGATTAGATGAGCGCCTTCATTTGCTCCACAGCTTCTGACAACACACAGATTGTTGTTGTTGTTGTTGTTTTCAACTAAAACGCTAAAACGTTACGCTGCTCACGGCATTTTCCTCCCTGAGGGCGCTGACAGTAACAACGCATTGTGACAACTACTAACTATTTAAAAAGAGGCCTATTCATCTGCCTTTCAGACAGCCGGCCGGCCTGCAAAACAACAACAATTAAAAGCCACAATAACAACGTTCGAACAGATACGTGTAGAAACGGCTCTACAGCCAAATAAATCCTTCATTTTTTAAAATTTAGCACCACAGAGGAGGTCGGCGACCAGCCTGCATCCTGCTGACTGCAGGTGGATGTGAAGCGTGAAAAAGGAGCCGACCAAACATGCCGATTGTGCAAAAGAGCGCCGAGCTTCGCGGAGCCGACGGGAACGGACACGTTGGTGGTTCCCCGTCCAGCTATCAGGAGGCAACCTCTAAACCTCGGACGTAAGCCGGGTTTCACCGTGAAGTTAAAACCAGCCCGAGCTCTTTACCTTTTCATGTAGGACAAAAGCAGCCCGCAGTCATTCATCTTAAATGAAAGCCAGCAATTAGGAGTCGCCGTTACTGTGGGAGCAGCGAACTGTTGACGCCCAGAGCGCTGCCATTTTCAGCTGGAGTGGCGGAAAATCTGATTGAGTTCCTGCTGTGTTTCACTTTGTGCTAAATGTCCACATTATTGTAATTCTATACCAATTTATTGCCATATAATAAAAAAAAGTTTTGCAAAATACCAGTGCCTTGGGTAAGGTACAAAAAAAGTAGTGTCTGCCAGTTGTTTTCAAATTCAATAGCTGTTCATGCTTATTTACGGCAGTTTTCCTCGTGAAACGTCAGATTGGAGGTTCAGTTTGGAGCCTTCTTGGTACCGAGTGCTTTCGGTCGATACCTTTAGAAGAGTAATAATCCCCAGTCCTGGAAGTATCAAGGTTCATCCCAGGTCTGACTCTAAAATGTCTAATGTTGTAACGCACACACGGAGAGCTCGACACATTTCAGTGCAGCCAGCCAATCAGCGCTCATTGTCCCGAATAATTTACGACATTTATTACAACAGGAGCACTGGCCTGCACAGGTGTAGATTTCTTCTGAAGGGGGTTTACACAAGCTTTACTAAGTAAAGAGCCTATGGTAGTCGAAGGGGGGGGGGTGGTACTGAATGAAGACCATTTAATTACTCTTATTTCAACCGACAAAAGAAAAGTCATCAAAATGCAGAATCAAAGGCGAGTCCCATTATTTACACACAGCTGGAATCCACGGCCTGGATCCACCTCTGCTGGCGCTGCACATTGGGACTCGCATGCAGAATCTTCTGAGGAGGAGAATTCTGAAGCGGCTCGGCGAGCAAGAAGACGACGGCTTCTTTTCAGCACCGTCTCCACCAGGTTAGTCGGGGCGGTTACATAACTGGAAAACATTAGTTCGCAACCGTCTCCAACATGAAACACTTCACAGGGTTCATTCAAGAAGGGTTCTTATTCTGTTTGGGTTAGAAAAACTTCCAGACTGCTTCTGATGTAATGGATGCTCTAATGGGGGCGGGTTAGGGGGGGCAAAACTGGACATCTGGCCACAGCCAAATGACGCGGGTCTTTCTGTCGGGAAACTGTGAGCAGATGGAAACAGGCGCGGGGGGGAATATTCATGGGGCCGACTCTGGATTATGCAGCGGCTCGTCTGGGAGCATCGACTAGCTGGCGTGATGGTCGACTGAGCCGGACCTCCGGGACACCGGTCTGATGTCTCACGGCCTCTAACGCCACGCGCTCGGCCTACTGCCACAGGAGGCCAAAAGATGAAGACAAATGCAGCTTTTTTGGGACAATTTGTTGGCTGCTTTCGGTTTTAAGATGCTGCTCTGGCAGAGAAGCCCTTTTCCTATGGGAAATTAACACGGGCATTTTCTATTGTATTACAGTTTATGTACCAAAATGATGCATGAAGGGATCAACACATTAAGAATGGGCCGGTGGCTGTCAGACTTTGCATGAGAGCAAAACCAGTTATTTATGTGTCAACGCCCTTCAGGCCTCTCGGCACCCACTGCTCAAAGGGTTTCAAAACAGCCACCTGATGACATCGTCACGTCACAGCCGAAACTACGCATCTGCTCGAGCCCGACACCTCATCTTTTGATCCGAGCTTGGGAGGACGGGCTGATGCCGGTGAAACGGCAAGCAGAAGTCACACGAGGACACGGAGGAGGAGCCTCACAGCTGTGTGAAAATCCATCTTATGCAACGTGGAAAATATTCCATATGAAGTCGGTTTATTCTGCAGACTCAAGCAGAGAGCGGTTCTCCTCGGGATCACGTCTCAGCGCCGACGTGGGAGACGGATGGCCGGAGGCTGAGATCACAGCGAGCGACGAGCTCTCCGGTGATCCCAGGCTCGATGAGCCGCGTCTCGGAGGGCCACACGAGCACCGGCCACGTGTCTACATCTTCACCTCATCGAGTCTAACAACACGTTCACAACTCCTCTTCCCTACGGCATCCGGATCGCATTTCATTTTGGTTGGACGGAACCGTTTAAAACACAGTAAAAAGGAGAAGGAATATGGACATTTTTATGGATTTCGAGAGTATGTGATTGTGACAATTAATGCAAACATCACTACCAACAATCCCAAAAGTCAATGCACTATAATCATTGTGTTGTTTGCTAGTTGACTTTTGCCATTTTAGTGTTTTGTTAATATTATATTTATAGTCGTCTATTATTAATATCTTTTCTTTTTTTGTGTCTAAATGTCCCTTGGTGCGCGTGTGAGATGTAAGTAGAGAGCGACAACGCCATGAATGAAGAAGCGCACAGCGCAATGTTGTCTTTAAATCAAGGGAATAGACGTCACATCATGCAAGGTCCTTTCGGCATTTCTGTATCCGTGGAAACGGAGCAAAAAGTGGTCGATCTCACATACTTTGGGTTTCTTTCTGTCTGCTCGGTTGAATCTTAACGGAAGACGGGGCACATTCATCAGGCGTTGTATGGCGGAGGTATTCAAAGGGTTAGCAGGCGGTAGCCATGGCAACGTATTGAACTCATCGCCGGCTCGGTGGTCCTGTCTGTAAACCCAGCCGATGCTCCGTTTGTGGACGCGCGGAAGCGTTTGGGGTTTAAAAACTTGGCCATACATCATTTGCGCACAAAGGAAACCATCCGTGCCGAGTGACGTTGGGTTGCGTTCAAACGAACCAGAATCGACGAGTTCATATCTCGTTTCCTGAGAACATCTAACGAAAAGGCCGATGTTCCACACAAGACGGAGCGGAGGAGGGAAGAAGCCGAAGCCGCCTGTCCAAAGCATCACACGGCCAACAAGAGAACAGCGATTTCACAGAAAGGTCACCCAGCGGGGACGCGTGCGTGCTCGCTGCTGCGGGTGAACTGACACGTACCAGCACGTAACCACCGGTGACATTCTGAAAGTACGACTCGTGCACTTTGAGATGTGCACTTTGCTCCGGCCAATTAAGACAGGATCTTTCACTTTGCCCTGAAGACCTGGAGGGTTTAAAACATCCCCGACTGCCCTTCAGCAGAGGCGCTCTGGGGAAGGGGACATTTGGAATAAAGAGAAATAAAATAGTCAGGTGTTTGTACACCGCTACGTGAAACTGCCTGTGAACGTAACGCAGTTATTGTGTATTCGCTCATGTAATATTACACGATGAATACGTCATAACTCATAACATAAGCGTTGAGGTCGGGGTGATTATTTTAGTATTTTAAAGCCTTCAAAAAGGAAATACAATATTTTTTGTTTTTATTGAAACCGAAGGGAAAAAACATGATCAAATTTCCACTCAGCATTGTTCTAAATGTCACATTAACACAGTAAGTGCTGCCGGTATTTGGGAAACTATGGCCAGTTTGAGCACTGAACCCCTCATTAACCAACACAAATTAAAATGAGGATGAGGCCTTTAACTAAAATGAAAATCAGTGTCCAATATATATATATATATATATATATATATATATATATATATATACACACACACACACACATTTTAATTATATGTATGTAGATATTCTTTCCGTGTTAACTATTCCACAGCATTTACAGGAGGAGCTGGAGATCGAATAGAGGACAACCTGCTCTACATAAGAGGACACGTCCGTCATTCTGCAATAAAACAACACACATCGTAAGTGGGTAATATAATATTCGCTGGCAGTGTTTTTATTTTTTGTTGGATAAAGCCATGCATCTCCTTCAAACGTCCACGTGTAGCAGAAGTAGAAAAGGGAGCAGGTCTATTTCCAGAAAAGGCAACGCGCAGCAGTTCTCAGGCTGATCCGTCGCCTGCAGCAACAAACTCACTTAACTTTGAGTTAATAAGCAGGCGCGCTGTTCTGCATCCCAGTAACGGGATTCGATTCGTCTCCCAGAGCGCGACCAATCACACCGACGCCGATTATTCAATTTATTCAACTTCAAGGATCGTATCTACAACCTGTCTCTCAACTAAAGGCGACTACGCCAATTTGTCATTTATTGTTTAAATAAATTAACGAGCATTAACATTTCTAATATCAAGCACATACGTTGCTTAATATTTAATTACATAAATCCACCCACTGTAACAATACCTGATTTAGTATCGGATTTATTATACACACATTTATTCAGCCAGTCAATAACTATTTGTGTAGCTGTAAGATGGTTTAATAAATAGCTCATTGCATTCATAACAATGAACAGCACTTAATATAACAGAATATTGCATTGAAAGTCATTTAAAAAAGGGAAAACCATGTAAAGTACCCGAGTGGCAAACAATGCAGCCCTCCAATGACATTTTCTTAAAATCTGAAAAGGAGATAAAAATAAAATAATAACCCGCGACCGACACGTGACTCGACTCCAAACGAGCCGCGACACGCGAGCGCTTTTCTTCAGAATGCTCAGCCGCCGAGTGGCACACTTTGCACATTTCCCCCTGCTGATGCATTAGCACAATCCAGACTCCATTAAGAAGTATTATCCAAGCGGGTGGTTCAGAGCACTCGCTCATCAGTAATCACTTCACCTGCCCCGCAAGGATGGCAAAACGATTGCAGAGCGTAGACGGATTTAAATATCAGAATAAGTGGGAGATGCAACATTAAAAAAAAGGTACAAAGAGCACGAGCAGAAACGTACAACACACCGCGCAAAGAACTGTTAAAGAAACACAGCACTCTGCGGCCAGGTCGGTGTGGAAATCGAACCCTAGAAGAACAACACGGGAGTCGCTGCTGAGAAGAGGGCATGCGATCGCCGCGGTAACCGTGGACACAACCCCGTACAGGCCGGCGTGCAATCACAGGTACAATGAACCTGACTTACCAAGTACCAAGACATAAGCTCGTTGTGACCGGCTGTCCAGCATCGTGTGCCACCCCGGCCCCCCCCCGTCTCATTGTGGGGCGCCAAACAGCGGGTGGACGTACCTCTCTGTCCATGCTGTCCAGGTCCTCCTTGCAGAGTAGGTACAGAGGCATACTTTCTGACATGCTCGGCTGGCGTTTGCGACGAGACGGCCCCGGCTGCTCGTCGTCCCGGCTGGACCCCCCCGCCTCGTCCTGCTGCCGCTGTGAAGTTCCCCTGTGGTCACATGACAGACAAATGAGTGGGAACGTGAACCGCTTCGGTGCAGCTGAATAAATGGACTAATAAGCCGGTAGGCTACGGCGACATGTTAATTTGCATTATAATGAGAAGGTTATTACCTTTACGATTAATTAAGAAAAAGAATCTCTGTCTTCAACCACAATGAGGGAACAACATTGATTTGCAAAAAGTGAATTAAAAAGGTTAAATCCAAGTTAATGCAACCAGCTCAAACTCAACTTGGCCACTAAGCCATGAATAATATCCAGTCTCTTTTTCATGCGTGCGCGTATTAATTAAAGAGTGTCTTCATTTCAAATGACAGCACCCCTCAGGGGTTGTGTCGCCAACGACAACCAAATGCGCCCGGAGACAGGAATGAGCATTCCGTGAGTGACAGGTGGAAGCCAAACGGCGTGGAGGTGCACAGAGGTGACTGAGGAGCTCAAACGGGTTACTGCGCTGCCGTCTCATCTCCACTGAGGGTCCTTCATGAAGTAGCGTAGCGCTGCACCGACTGCTGTTGTACTTCACAGAGACGGGAGAGATGCAAATGAGGCCCAGAGGACAAATCAATACATTTAGGATCTATTACGAGCCGCTCTGCAGTCAATAAATAGCACCATCGATAGTATACTCGTCATTTATATTTTACACGCTATGGGTCCGCGGTGCACACAGGGGTCTTCGGGTTGCAAGATGGTGTCATCATTAAATACACCACCGCTCAGCAGTTTACCATCGCTGAGGAGGAGTGTTTTAAAGTATCAGATCACATGCTCTCTGTTCCCCTCCGACAGCGAGTTGAAGAACACGCCGATCTTTATCTTTTAATAAGGAATCTAAAAAACGTCACGCCCTCAAAATGTTTTGTCGAGTGCCGTGACGGAGCACCGCCCGGCCCTGTGGAAACTCTTGCGTAATGTCTTACGTGGCGCCCCAGAGGAGCTCGGTTATGTCATCCGGGTCGGCGCAGCCGGGGCTCGGAGTTTTGAAAGAGACAGCGAGGCCTCCACGAAGCTTTTGTTTATTTCATGACTTTCCCCCAAAACTTCACATCACTATCACATGCTGCACGTAGGCAGCGATCGGCTATGATGCTCACCTGAGACCGGGCTGCTCTCCGGAGGACCCCTGCAGGTAGGACGCCGGCCGCGGCGCCTGAGGGCCCCTCCGGATCAGCTTCCCCGTGACGGGGTCGTAGGTCCGGACCTCGGGGGCCGCCGGTCTGCTGTGGACGGGGGCCGGCTGGAAAACGTGCGTCTGCGGGGAGCCCTGAGTGTCCGGGAACGCCGCCGGACTGATGCTCCTGGGACCCGGCGGGGGAGGGAAACAACAAGGGTCACGGTTTGCGCGTTTGGTCAGGATTTAGGTCTGGAGGTGGTGGTCGTCCGTTACCGCGGCGTCTTGGAGCAGTCCTCCCTCAGCGGGTACAGCTGCTCCTCCACCCTCTCCCAGCGCTCCAGGCAGCTCCACAGCCAGTCGGGGCTGACCACGTGGAGGTGCCTGCAGCCCTGCGCCTGACGGACCTTCTCGGTGCCTGGATGAAGGAAAACAGGCTTTAACCTTTAAAGCAACGGGGTGTGTGTGTGTGTGTGTGTGTGTGTGTCTCAGTTGTTGTCTTATTTAATTACCAGGAGAACTAGGAAGAATTTCTCTTTTGAAGTCACTTTCTTCACAACTGAAAACCCTTCTTTGGATTTGAGAGAGTTTGGTTTGGTTGAATCCGCGCGGAGAGAGAGAGAGAGAGAGAAAGTGTTTCTGCACGAATGAGTCTTACTGACGTCAAACAAGGAGACAACAAAGTGAATTCTTCATCGGAGGTTGTTTTTGTTTTACACGATCAAACACAAAAGGAACCGTCGGTCTTCTCAGGCAAACCGGGCTCACAGAAGAGAACGTTTCTCCATCAGCTTCATGGTAATGTGCAGAAATAATAGCTGACTGTATGAAGATAAGTAAGTGGTATTTATCTTTAAGCCGTTCTGGAGGAGTTAATTATTAGTCATATTGTGTCTGAAACGGCAAATATGGTTCACATAATAGAGACAATGTATTCTAATCTTTAAAATAAGTTTGTAAACCAAAAAAAAAAAAAAAAACAAGAGATAAAATGTTAATTTCTTGCTTAATATTTGAAGTGAAATGGAGAATCGATGCTGTTTATCATTTACTTATTATTATTACACAAATATTACTAAAACGTGATATTATTTTAGGGCCGTGTCGTCAACCGCCAACAAAGAATCAATCAATGGGGCTGTTTTTAAAAAGCCTCCTTCTGTGTGTAACAACTCGTTGCATAAATGCCTTGCAACAGATAATAATGACTGAAATCTACCAGTTTTTTGAGAGAAATGTCCTTCGAATGTGCCTTCTCTCTCCAGACCAAATGACCCACTGCTCGTACGTCGTTGGCTGATTTTTCTCTCCTTGTGAAGCACTGATTTCCAAGTGCCGCTCACAGCAGCGAGCCGGCTCCCACGGCAACGCTGTCACCCCCCCCCGGTGCTTGTTTTGCAGAAGGTAAACCGGATTGGAGGCGACGCGGGCGTGAATCCGCTTCTGGTGCTCTTCAGACAGAAGAACATTTCCACTGAGTCCTCGGTGGCTTGAACGTAACTCGTGACCTCGCAGAAATAGAGCGACTGCAGCCCCCCTGCGGTAACCGCTGACGACGGGAGTGTGCTTAAAAAAAAAAACGACAACTGTATTTGTGCGGCATCGACGCAAAAAAACAGGGCAATTGACCATCGAGTCGGTCACTTCCCTTTAAGCCGTGTGCGTATTCTTGGACCTGAAAATGCAAAAGCTCTCCTGCAGACCTTTTGAAGCAGGGAAACACAAACAGCCTCTCGGCTCATAATAGTGCTCGAGCGCGGGAACGCAGTGAGCCGTGCTTCTGTCAATCAAGTGGGTCTAATTACACGAGAAGCGGCGGCCTCGAGGAGCTCTGCGTGACGCCATTGTGCGTTTAATTATTTAAAGCTGCATTCGTGCTGGAATGGCGGACCTTGATGACACTGTATTCGATCTCAATTATTTCCGCCCAGTCAAAGTTTTGACTTTGTCTGGGAATATTTCGGGCATTTAAACAATCCTTACATGACCCCTGTTGGATTCTGCCCTCATTAGCAACCCGTAACTTGCACCAATTAAAGCACACAGCCAACTAAAAAAAAAAAGTGCATGAAAGATCTTTTCACGGCCGACTTTAAGGCGGACAAATGCCCGTGCACCCCCCCCCCCCCACACGCCTCCACGTACCGGCTCTCGCTGCGATGAGATGCGTCGTCCGACCGGCGTCCTGTGCGTTCAGGACCAGGTTCTTGGCGATCTTGGCGCCGAGTGCCTTGGCGTGGTAGAACTCGCGGGTCCTCTCCATGGGGTAGTTGGTCGGGTAGAGGCCACTGAACACCAGCGTCGTGCCCTCCAGCGTCTTGCCCTTCAGCTCCGGGGCGATCTTGCGGATGTCCGGCGTTTCGGCGGCCTCCTTCCTCAGGTAGGCCTCGTAGCGCGCGTAGTACTCCGCGTGGATCCTCTCCAGCACCTCCTCCAGGTAGATCAGGTGATCGTCCTGGTCGACGTCCTCCTCCTCCTCCTCCTGCTGCTCCTCCTCCTCTTCGTCCTCCATGCTCTGGTCCAGAAGCTCCTCCCCCATGGTGACCCCGGATTGCTCGCTATTCTGCGACTCCGTCTCCGGCTCCGTCCTGTCCGAGCAGCCGTTTCCCAGCTCGGGGTCGGGGGGAAGAACTCCCGACGGTTCTGCCGCCTCGCGTCCGTTGTCCCCTTCACGCCGGCCTTCTTCGTCTCCGTCCCCGGCGCCCGGCGGGACTCCTTCCCGCCCGGGCTTCTTCGCCCGGCTCGACTTGGCTTCCCCGTCGCTCTCTGATGAGGGAGGCCTCTCGGCGGCGGAGTCGTTGTCGCTGTCGCTAGAAAGATCAAAGTCCAGGTTGTTGGACTCGTGGCTCGGCGCAGAGGAGCCGGCGCCGCCCTCCGCCTCCCGTGTCTCCAGTGTCCTGTTGCTTTCGTCTTCCTTCGCGAGCTTCCCGTCGCCCACCCGAGTTTCCCTCGCCGCCGCTGCCGCCCCAGGCTCCGCCTCTGACCCTCGACCCTTCCCCGACTCGTCCTCCTCCGCCTCTGTGAGGTGTGTCCGTTCGTTCGCCTGTGTTCCCTGAGAAGATGCCTCCGCCGTCGCCGCCGTGGACTCCTCCCTCCCGGGAAGGAGGCTGGCGTCTTTCGCCCGTTTCCTGTCGCCGTTACTCTGCTCGTCGGCGTTCGGCGTCCCCGCGGCCTCTGCGCTCTCCGCCGGGCGACCCAACGGGCCTCCAGCTGGAACGAGACACATTAAAACAAACACATGAAGCCATAAACCCCTGGTGGGGGCTTGTGACAATCAGGACATTTTACATGTGGTTCCCCACCCGGACCACCACGGAGATAATGGAGCGCACACAAATAGTTTGACCACGTTTTAGCACCACGTCCATAGATACCCTCAACAAAAAAAAAAAAAAAAAAAAGAGTCTTTTAAATAAGCTGCTGCGACGTGTGAAACACAATGTAACCTGCCTGAGCAGTGATCATGCACGCAGCACCAATGCATTCTGGGAGGCCCGTCTTAGTAAGAACCTCCCTGACATTTCACACTAGTGCTTCAGCGGCTCCGGTTGCCCGCGTTTGGCCGACATCACGAGTCCCTCCGGTGCAAATGACTCAGTTTGAGCGCGAGATAAAATCTAGAGGACAGGACGACAATCACGCCGTGCATATCAGTAATGTGAAAAACGATAGGTCAAATGGCCGTGTCATGTGACACGGGTGGCTCCCTGTGAGTCACATGACTAATTAGCTCCCTTCAGCTCCAAAAGAAAACGTTTAAGTACATTGTTGAGCCGCTCGCTGCCTTTCATACATCAACATTGTGTCTAAAGCCTCTTGTGCAACTAAAAGAAATAAAAAGAAGAGAAATGCAGATTTAGTCAAACCCTTTATGTAAATGTGTAGTTGCCAGAACATATCAACTTATACTATTTGACTTGCAAAGCAGCAGTGGATTTGCTTAAGGGAGAACAAATTGTATTTACATGGGGTAAAATATGTTGGTTTTTTTTTTTGTCTTTTTTCCGACGGATCCACAACCCTCGGGCCGTCGCTGAGCCCGGCATCTGTTGAGCGCAGCCACGACTCGTCGGTAATTGACGTAACAGCCCGAGAGTGGGTGTAAATGAAGGGGTCCCTCCAAAAAGTCCCCGGGGAGACACACTGGCTGGCTCCGGCGATAATGAAGAGTAACGCGGCGAGCTCAGCGCGCAGAGGGGAAAGTACCGGCGCCCGTTGAGTCTCTCTCGTTCCCTCGACAGCTGCGTTTGATTCACGATGAGGTCGGCGGATCGAGGTGTGGAGGCTCATCGTGTAAACTGACGCCGCGGCGGTGCAGCGTTGATGACTATTTATCGCCTGTGTGATGAACGGCGTGACCGAGGACAGAGTCATCGCTTCGTTTATTGCACGGCGGGTCTGTTGAGATGAACGATGATCTTTGAGAGTATGACAGGCAGGAAGCGACCCGCAACCAACGGGCTAAAATGAGAAAACTATTCGAAGGAGTGACTGAAAACTTGACGGAGAAAAGGGTTTTTTTTTCAAGCCGCAGTTGGACGTTAACTCGCTCGCTCACCAGCTGCTGCGGTGGAGGCGTCACAGCGTTGTCGTGGAAACATGCCGTCACTTTCCTCTCCTTTTTTCTTTAAATTTTTTAGCATCAATTGGTGAAATCAAATTTAGTCAGTTAAGAATCCTAATTTATAAATCATATATTTTATACCGACATGAATGTCTTCTGCATCAAGCGCATATTTAGAGAATATAAGACGTTGTAGCTAGCATCATAATTAATATAATTTCATCACAATAAAAATGTGTAATATCTGATATACTAGTGGGACTTAAAGTCTTGGTGTTCTCCAAATTTCAACAGCAGTGAGGCAATAAACAACGACCGAATCAAATCTTCGTTGAATTTCTTAACGGTTTGCCCAGAATTCGTTACACTGGACTCGGTGTCTCGTGAGACGCAGCGATGGACGCTCTGTGCCTCTGTAGAGTCCAACACCAGCGAAGCCTCTGGACCGAAGTGTTCGCAAACGGCCGGACGCTTTGTCCCCGAGAGGCTCGTTCAACAAACGCGTCGTGTTGTCGATTTGACAGCAGACAATCAAAATCATAACGAAAACAAACACGGGAAGCGGAGCCCTGTGAGATGAAGGTGGACTCTGGAGCTGTCAGTGAAAACAAACAGCAGATGTGTTCGCTCAGAAATTCATCTGCTGTTGGGAAAACTGTTAATGAAACGACATCATAATTGACCTTTAGAAGACCATGTGACCTATTTATGCAAATCAACACGCGTGAGAATCAGCACAGGCATTTTCCTCAATAAATAAAAGGAGAAATCAGTCAAAGCGGCTGTGCTTGTGTCGGACCACTTTGTCCATGACTTCAGCCCGTTATGTCCATTAAAAAGGTGCCTGAGGGGGGTGTAGAGACGCCTCGTGCACATCTGTGTTCTGTCTCCCCCCGCTGGGTCATCGTGACATACGGACGGTTTTCAGTTGGATGAAACTGCTCAGAGTGATTTCTTCATTAGCTTCTTGTGACACCAAAGAACAGAAATAAAGAGACAATAAAGTGCTGCACAAACTTCTGTCCGCTAATGGATTTAATTTCAACGTTTGCTCCTCTGGGTTTGTTTAAGCAAATAAATAAAACTGCAACTCAGACTACAACTAAAATGAAACAAAGCATATACATGTTCAAAATAAAACTCCCCACAGGTGTGAAAGAACCCGGACGCGTGTTGGCACGGTACCTTTCTTTGCCATCTGGGCTTCCCGCGACCCGGGGGGGGCGTTGATGTCCCCGGTGCCCTGGAAGTAGATGTATTTCTTCACGGTGATGAGATTTGGCGCGAACTTCCACACGTCCTCCCGGTCGTCGATTATGGAGACCATGGAGTCGCCGCACGGGAAAAGATTCCTGTGAGACAAACGGAATCCAGATGTGCAACGTGAGGCTGTTATTTATCTCTCTTTGGCTGCAGTGATGTCGCACTGACTCAGAGTGTGTTTGGCTATAACTATAGAACTACTATATATATATAGAAATATCTCCTTGCAGGGAGTTGCACCGTCAGCCGTTCAGCAGCGACACAGAGGGAGAATAATAGATGGCTCTTCCTCAAATCGCCGACAATCGAGAGACAGATTGTTCACAATAACAACGGCAGAAGCAAGGAAACAATTTGGACAAATTCACTGCTGCCAACATGCAGTGTGGATCCTCCACCAACTGTTTCGCCGCCACCCAGACGAGACACGCAGTGCGTCGCCGTCTCGTCGTGCTTCAACAGATGACACTGCAAATTCCCGCGGTACCTAAGATTTCCCGTCTTGGAGAAAGGGTCGATGCATTCATCCCTGGAAAGGATCCGATGAGAGAACAGCTTCTTTTCGGGATCCAGAAAACCTACAAAAATACATTTAAAAACAAAAAGGAGATTAAGGGGTGATGTGGAAAAAAAAAAATGATCCCCATTCAACTTCCCCATTTGTATCGCCAAGATACAAACGCTACAGCGAACCACTAACAACCAAACTATCCTCTTATCAATAAAACAGCCCCTCTGTCCACTACCTTTCCCCTGGTGTATTCTGGTAGAATAAAGCCTTGGAAACCCTCTCAGGCTGTGGACAGAGCCCTGTGGACAGAGGCCGACCTCTTCCTCCAACCTTCAGGGCTCCGCGCTGAAGCCTGAAAGCGTTCCATCCCCATCGAGCCCCGTGTTAAGATGCCTTGTGAACAGCAGTAATTAACAAGCTTACAGCCTGGTACAAACAACGGTTTGACTCTATAAAGCTTATTTACCCCGATCATGACAACTGCACGGCTTTAATTGAGGCGCAGTAGGAGGCTAGCTGTTAGCATTTTGCTCTGCTGCGTGCAGCCATTAAACATTCACACCGTGCAGATAGAATAGTACTGGACCAAGGCCGCTTCTATTAAATACGGTACGATGAAGAAGTGCTCCAAGGACGCCAAAAAGACAGCATATAAACAAACAACCGCCGCTTCTGTATAATCAAGCCCTGAACTGCAAACTGCAACATTTTCATCTAGAAGGTCGTATTAGTCAGCTACCAGAGGACTCAGCCGCTCGCAGATTTTTTGCATGTAAGCAGCCAGAGTGTTGTCACCGATCAGCCTGCTGATGACCCTCAGAGACGCTAGATGCTCAGCAGTGAGCCAGCATGCCATCAAACATGAGCAGACACTCCCCTCTCATGGACAGCAACAGGAGGTACAAGTGAAAGTCACATTTAGATACGAGGTTACGAGAGGCCGTTACCGGCGATGGTGTGTGCATAAAGGCGGCTCCCGAAGGTGAAGACGTGCAGCTCGTAGAGTTTGGCGATTTTCTCCAGGAACGCCTTGCAGTGCGGCCGCAGTCGCGTGTGGAGCATCGGGTCCCCTCGCCCGAGCTGGAAGTGGAAAATACCCTGAACGGGGAGAACAAGAGCGTCAACAACGCCGCCGCCATCGGTGAAATGCACAGATTTCAGAGCCTCAACACTTAAACAACTTAAAATATTTTGATCGTGAACTTTGGTTGGAACCACGCTGACGGGCTGAAAACTTTCAATTATAAGCATTTCCAAGAAATCCCCACTGAGCTTGTTTATAAAAGATAAATATTTTTTATGTTTTTCCAGTGAACACATGAAAGTGTAGGAGTGAAATGCTGACTGTCATACAGAGGGGGAACGTTGCACCTAGTAGTTCACGTGAAGGAGATTAAAAGAGAGAGACGTTCTGATCCGGGGTGACTAGGGTTGCCAACCGTCCCGAATTGTCCGGGACATCCCGATTTATGGGTGATTCTGATATGTCCCGTCAGGGACAGCTCCAGTCCCGTATTCCAATCACAGCCAATATATATATATTTTTTTTGGATGGCCAATAATAGGCTTCTTTAAACGCGCCAATAACTCACGCGACCGTTGCTATGGGACGCGGTTGTTGCTTGTTGGTGACAGTTTGTTTGAACTGGCCACTGGGAGGTGAGCGTTATCGTGTGTCAAAATGAGCAGTGAACCTTCAAAGAAAAAAAGACTTTGGAGCTATAAAAAAAGAACGGGAAGCCAAAATGTCATGGGTTAAAGCAGGAAAGCGTTTTGCACAGTATGCCGCCGATAAATGATCCATTAGCCATGGCGTGCCCCCCCGCGCACACCTGGAAAATAAAGTGTCCCTCTTTTGGGGTTGAGGAAGTTGGCAACCCTAGGGGTGACCGTGGAGAGGAGTGATGCCATTGGATGATACCTTATTGGACATGCGCTGGCAGTGCTGCTCTGTGGTGTGGATCAGCGTCTGATCCAGATCCACCATCAGGACCAGCTTTCGGTTCCGGTGGAGCCTCTGCTGGTCTTCTCTTCCCAGCTCTTCTGCTTGCTTTCGAGAGGGAACAAAGATGAGGGATGAAATAACAGCGAATATGTGATGATACAGAATGTAAGGACAACGGAAAAAAACGTCCATGTATATTCCGATGGTAAATATTGCAATGGTCCACGACCATTTCACACAGATATTTTAGAAAGGGCATAACCATGACATATAAACATACATTTGATATGGCCTACTGGCCCATGGATCTCCGTCACATGACTCACCTCAGAGCTGACCATCAGCTCGGGGACACTGTGCACCATGGAGACGGTTGCTGTGGAGATGGGAGTTTGCTGGTTCCCATTTGTGCCTTGCAGCCTGAGAAGGATAAAAAAAGATGGTGTGAGTCACGTGCTTTGAGTATCTCTTAGCACCTTTAACACATCGGGGCTGAACCGAAAAGGGGCTTGTGTGAACACACTATTCATCAGCGCTTAGTACAGAAAATACAACAGTTGACAGCAAATGATTTGGGTTGTTGTTATCAGATTGCATGAAAAGAAGATTCCCGGCTGTAAAATATTTGTAATGTGCAATTCCTAATACAACTTCTCATGAAACATTAAAGCAACACTTTAACCTCACGGTCAACAACCTACTGGGACTTCTTTAAATCGATAAAAGCAGCTACAAATGCAGCTCGTCTCAGACTGACAGCTTTACATTCCACATCTCTATCAAACTGACACCTGGAGAGAGACGTTTATCACACTCGTATTCAACTCTCTGATCTCTGGTGCCCCCTGATGGTTTCTAACAATACAGAATGCCCCAGACACTTTGGGCCCGACTTGTATTTCGCCAGTTTGAATGGACAACAACATGACACCGTTAAAAAGATAGATTATTAAATATGGTGGGTGCCCGTGTGAAAATGTAAGCATTCATTTTAGGAATGTTCTTCAGGTCTGTGCGTCGTGAGGGTCATAGTGGGATCACAATATATATCATCATTAAACACAAGATTGAAAAGAAATTCATTTATAGGTACAACTAGTTTTTTGGGATTTCCTTACTGAGTCAGGTCTTGGCCACATTCAGCACATAAACCCTTCATTACTATTGGATGGCTGCATTCTTCTATTCTGACGACGACGCCCCTGAAAAAAAAAGAAAAACAAATGTTACATTACATTTTACATTACAGGTCATTTAGCTGACGCTTTTATCCAAAGCGACTTAGATTGCATTTATAACCCATGGCTTTCTATTTTTGCCGGGGGAGCAATTAGGGCTTAGGTGTCTTGCTCAGGGACACTCGAACCACCAACTTTGCGGTTCCCGGTGCACCCTCGCCATCCTCAGTGTGAATGCGTGCTAATCAATAAACCAGTAATAATGCATTCGGTAGTCTCTTGTTTAGGCAGGATTCTCATTAGAAGAACATTTTCTTACGGCTTGCCAGGCGTAGGTGTAAATTCAATTAATTAGATGTTACATGATTTAGCGATTGAAGCTCATAGATTATCTGTCAACAACATGCTTTGAGTGACAGGAAAATGCAGAGTTTTAAAATGAGTTTTTTCTTGATCAATATCTGGGCCCAGAGCTGCTTTGTAACTAACAAAGTTGACCTATTGAGGAAAAGTTTTTTGCACGTTTCTTTTCCTTCTTCAGCTGAAAACTTATTAGTCACCTGTTTTTATATATAAAAAAGACCCATTTGACTGACATCTTTCTCATATTATAATATATATTACAAACACTTTTATTGTTATATCGTGCAACCAGCACTGATTTACAGAGCCAGGAGCAGAAGTTTACAAGGGACACATGAAGGCAGCACTTGTTTTCACTGGCGGGACAAAATTGGGCATCAGAGATGTACATTTTAATTATCGATACCAGATCAAATGTTTTAAATCTAATACACTAAGAAGCAGCTGAAAGGCACACATGACGCTAATTTGCGAGAAAGGGAAAACTGGGATGAAAATCGGCCGGTTCAAACTCAGTGGGACAGCAGCTACCTCGGGCCTGTCCTGTAACTGTCAAACTGACCCACCTGTGCGCTCAGTGCACGCGAGGGACGGATGCGTCAAGGCAAACAGAGCGAGGCAAGTCTTCACGTGATTGTGCCTTCAAAATAAAAGCGTAAACGTATTTTGGCGGTCAGCGTGACAGCAGGTTTATTGGACTTCAGAGCTAACAGTAATTACATGTAATGTTTGGTTACATTTGGCTAACGCGTGTTTGGTACGCGCACTGTACCCGAAACGGCTAAAAACGCGCAGAGAAAAACAATCTAAAACAACACTATTTTATTTTGAAACGTCTGCTCGTTTGTTTTGACTGACTTGATGACCCGAGTGTCGGCGCGGCTAGCAAACAAGCTAACGTTGCCTAGCACGTATAGCAAGTTTAGCTCGTTAGCTTAGGAACGATACTCTACTGGGGAAGTCAACTGCGAGCAAAGCGGTACCAAGACTACAGCTGACACGTTGCCTGCGGCCGTACAGGAGGGGGGTAGGCTAGCTAGCGGACTGACTCACCCGGGAGGTATGACTTGCCCGAGTTGACAGCATAGCTCCTTGACTACTCCGGAACGGTCCGATTTCACCTTTCTCTCCGGCTGCCTGGCAACCTCTGCCCCCTTCTCCGCGGGTATCGGAGCGCAGAGCGCTAGCACGGAGTCCAGGTTGACGTGGGAGCCGGGTTTGACTTTCCACTCCAGAAGCCGCAGAGGGAGAGCCCCCTTCGGCAAGCAGATGTCGGCCACCTGCACCGTGGGGCCCTGCTGCGCCGCCGCCGCCGCCGCCGCCGCCGCTGCTGCTGCTGCTCCACCGCCGAAGCCGACACCTCTACCGCCGCCAGAATCTGCAGGAGGATCCGCCATCTGTTTCCGCGCTACCCCCTTTACTTTTCTGCAACGGTCCACTTTAAAACGTATCCAATAGATCTCGCGGTGCCCGGTGTATCATTAAAACCCCGCGAACCCGTGTGCATCGAAGGGAGTTAAAACCAAACGTGCTGTCGGTTTTAAACGCGGTCTCTTCCAGTCAGCTACGTTCGCTCTTCCCGCCCGTAAACAGGAAAGCGCGACACTGCAGCGACACGGGTCGCTCCAGCATCCGGCGGACCACGCAGCCTGTTGCACGGAAACCCAATTTCCGGTATTTTACAAAATAAAATAAAAATAATAGTGTTAATAATAATAGTTCCAAACCCCCAAAAGTTTTGTTTATTTTAGTGGGTTTTGTCATCAGCGGCTACACGCGGCTGATGACAGCAAAAGGCACGCAAAGTACAATATTCTATGAAAGAGATCAATTTCAACAACCTCTGTAAAAAATCCAATAAAGCCAACATAGATCTTTATTTATTTTGTCTTTATTACAACTGCATAAACATTGAGAACGTCTGAGCTCACAGGGACCAAAATACCTGATGCAAGATGCAACATAAAAATAATAATATTAAACCAGTCTCGTTTTGAGTTACTTACTTGTGAGTACCGCATTTATTATTGTACGCAATGGTTAATAATCTAAAGGGTATACTTTAACGTTGGCGTACGTCTAAGTTAATTAAGCTCTGCCGAAGGGAAGCATGTTTGTTTAATTGCACATGAGTCCCATATACCACCGTCATTGATTAACGTTAACGTTATGTCTGGGCAGTTGGAGTAGGACGAGAAGGGGACATGATGCATATCAATGAAAAGGAGGCGGTATTGAGTGAAACACTGCGTTTAATCGTATCATTCTGGTACCGCCTACCAGAGAGTCCACCGTCAAGATGGCTGTCTGCCCGCCCCACACGGCGCCTGGCAAACGTCAGCCAGCATTTTTGGTGTTGTCATCAAAAAGACACCTTCAAACGGACAGAGGCAATTATTCTACCAGTGAATGTCCTACTTTCTCTTCCTCAACTAAACTCTTGGGTCTGGACGGAGTATATAGTTGTACCTATGAGCAAAAAAAAATTAAAAAAGCATATGTCTGACGAACGGGATTAAAGCGAAGACGGAAGCTGGTAGGGGGGAACGCTCCCGCCCTCTTTCTCGTCCTTCTTCTTGGGCATGCTAGCTGCCGGGTGACCGGGGAGGGGGCACCAATGGGTGCACCGATTGGGTACATTACCTGAAAGGGCAAGTTGGACGCTAAATAGCCATTGTGAGCACAGATATTTCATTATTCCACATGGCAGGAGAGACCACGCGGGCGGTAAATAACTCTTTCTTAAATCGTAATTTTAGCTCGTTTTGTTTTTAGCATTAGCCCGAAGTTAGCAAGTTGCCCCGGCAGGTCTCCGTAACTTTAAATGTAAGGTCAGCGTTATTGTTCACGTTAGTGACATAAAACAAGCAACTTATTAAACGGGTTAAGGAGTAGAAGCCTTATTGGTGTGTAAAAGACACACTGGCCACGTCGGCAACTTACCGGCGTATCGTTCAACTAACTGGACGTGTTGTGGTTACAAAACTGCAATATTCCGTTATTATCTGCAGCCATAATGTAAGCTGACATAACTTAACGCTAGCTAGCAACACGAGCCTCTTATACACGTTTCATCATATGCTTCACGTTGAGGTGGAGAGTGACGGGAAGCGTGTTGATGTTTCGGTGCTCAGGTCCCTGACATCACTGTTATCTCAGCATCAATTTGTCAGCAGCGGAGACATTTTGTCCCCCAGCTGTGGACAGCGAACACAAACAAACCAAGTCCCCCGGCTGGTCGTATTGGCCTTGATCTAGACCCCGTCCCTCTCTCTCATCACACACACACACACACACACACACACACACACACACACACACACACACACAAATACACAATCCCCTGCTGTTACTCAACTCCATATTATCTGTGTGTGTGTCTGTACACATGTGTATGAGTCAGATCTTTAATCTACTTTGGCTTCTCGTGCTTTTAAGTCTCAGGAAGGGAACAATCTACCTCAATAACTTACCCAACTACCGGGCAAAGTCCATCAGAAAGAGCTCTGCGTGCTAAAGGACATGAATACTTGATCAATCCAGTCAGTCCGGCGATGAAAAAGAGTGAAGAAGCAAGTGAAAGTCAAACAACAAGTTCCTTACAACCTGCTTTATACTCCTCACACAAATGTATTTGTGTTTTGGACTGAAGGTCGGAGTGATTATCCATTTTAACCGGGATATTAATCTGCAGATCAAGCCATGACTGATATTGAACAGTAACCGGCGTCCAAGTAAGATGATTACTGAAGCACCTTCAAAAACATCAACAGCGTACAAATCAATGAACAAGCAAAGGTTCAAATAATCCACATCATAGTAATGATTATAGTTTAGAATAGTAACGCATGAAAAAAACGCCTTGTCGCTCTTTCTCGGAGCTGCACTGTGTCTGCAACCAATTTTTATTAACTTTTAATATTTACATTACATGTTATCTAGCTGACGCTTTTATCCAAAGCGACTCACAATAAGAGCATTTCAACCATAAGGACACAAACTCAGAAGAACAAGAAAGTGCAATTTTATCAAATAAGCTGATTTACTACTCGCTATAGATAAGTGCCATTATACGTACAACTTAAGTGCTACAATTTAGCCTGCAATTGCAATGTGATGAGTCTCTCATGTGAGCCAATGATTCTGAACTGCAACTGTTGACGCTCGCAGGCTTTTTACGTGGTGGGGAACATGGGACGCTCCAGATGTTCCAGTAAATCAGATGTTTCTGAACCTTCCAGTAATGATTCACAGTTCAATGGTTGACAATCGGATGTCTGACAACGATCATGTGTCTCCTCCCCCCCCCCCCTTTCTTTAGTTAAAGTTGTGTCACCATCACATGGCTCTGCTCCGAAGATGTGCACGTCCCGGCGCAGCGCTCCAAAGAAACAGACCCTTCGGCTCACTGAGGTAGCGGCCGGGCCGCCGTCTCCCACTGGCTCCCGTCCACGCCGATGTTTCCGTCTCGATGAACTGATTGTCTTCCTGCCCTTAGGGAAGGAAAGCGCAGGGGCCTGCTATGGAAGACGCTTGTCGGCGTCTCGGTCGGCCTCCCCGTGGCGGCGGGCGTCCAGTACGCCGTCTCCGACCCCAGCGACCGGAGGAGGACGAAGGTTTTGATCGAAGGATTCGGTCGCTTCTGCAGGTTTGGGATGAAATCCTTGAACGCGTCCTGCACCGGTTTTGCAGAAAAGAGCCAGTGATTGTTAACGTGAGAACATCATAAGCTACCCGACCGTCTGCTTATGGACTTTCATATACGTGTACATGTTTAAAAGCTGTTCCTGCCTGAATTCCCCGCACTCGGGTACACGGCCAACTGATACCCTGCTAGTCAATCACAAGATGAAACCCTGAGTCATATGACCAAAAATCCATGCCTCGTGTCTGTGTGTCCTCAGGTGTCTCTCTGTGGGAATGCTGATCTCTGTGGATTACTGGTGGACCAGTAACGTGGCTCTCCGGGGCCGAGACGAGGTAAGTTCTCCAACCACTTCGTGATCAGTCTGATGATCACGACCTCCCCTCGCAACCGCAGGGCGGCTCTTCTCAAGCACGTTCGAGGAGTTCGAACTTGCGCGACAGTAAACTCCAATTGCATCAAACGTCACTTAGAAATATGAACATTTTCAATGGGAATCACACAAACTGTAGTGAGCGTTTTTAACTCACTGTTCACAATGCTGTTACGCTTTTGATCAGCTTTTGGTATCATTAAGGGGTAATTTGTGACTTTTTATAATAAAAAATGAAATCTAGTCTCTTATAAACATTGGTGCAATTGAATCCAACCCAAAAGACTGCGTGACGTATCCATCACAATGCCAGCGGTCAGCACCGGGGATTGACGGGCTCATGGACCCGGCTTAAAAAAAATGCCCCAAAAACAGAATAGAGAATCGGATACCTGGTCGGCTGTTGGTCCCAGATGTACTTGCGTTCCGCCCTCTGGCGCTGTGGGTGTACAATCACGTCTCCGCCTCCCTCCCCCCGCTAGAGCAGCCCATCCTACTTGGCCGAGATGTCAGCGTGCCACCAAAGGGCGGCGGACTGCATGGTGGAAGGAGCCCTCAGCAACGGAGGGATTTACATCAAGCTCGGCCAGGGTCTGTGTTCCTTTAACCACCTGCTGCCCCCCGAGTACATCCGCACCCTGCAAGTGCTGGAAGACAAGGCCTTGAACCGCAGGAGCAAAGAGGTGAGCAGCCGCCGCCGCCGCCGAGACCCGGCGGGGCGCGCGGCTCGGCCTGAAATGCCTCTGTGTCTGCACCAGGTGGACGCCCTCTTCAGGGAAGACTTCGACAAGACCCCCGAGCAGATTTTCAAAGAGTTCAACTACGAGCCCATCGCCGCCGCCAGCCTGGCCCAGGTCCACAAGGCGGAGCTGTTCGACGGGACACCGGTCGCCGTGAAGGTGAGCGCCAGGTGCCCCCCCCCGCGCTGTAAGTCCCCTCTTGCGGTTTTCGGGAGGTGGTACATCCATTGTTTTTTCAAAATTCCGGTGCCCACAGGTGCAGTACATCGACCTCAGGGATCGCTTCGACGGGGATATCAGAACATTAGAGATCCTGCTGGATGTTGTGAAATTCATGCACCCCAGCTTTGGATTCCGATGGGTTCTCAAGGTCAGAAGAGTTTCTAACCCGTTTAACCTGCCAGTATTTACACACCTGTGTCTCTCTCCCACTGTTATTGATTCCTGCTTCTTAACCAGGACCTGAAGGGGACACTGAGTCAAGAGCTGGATTTTGAGAACGAGGCCAAGAATTCCGAGAGGTGCGCAGAGGAGCTGAAACACTTCAGTTTTGTTGTGGTACCCAAAGTCTTCTGGGAGCAAACCAGCAAGGTGAGGTGGCGCTCCGAGGTAGAAAGCGACCGGGTGTCGGATCTTTCCCCCGGCTAAAGCTTTTTCTCTCTCCCCAACCCGAAGAGGGTGTTGACGGCGGAGTTCTGCAACGGGTGCAAAATCAACGACGTGGAGGAAATTAGAAGACAGGGATTGAGTTTGAAAGACGTGAGCTGGTGCACCCGACACGGCCGCTGACATTCAGAGGGGGGGTGGGGGGGGGTCACTGAAACGCCTCATCGAATGTTCGCTTTGCAGACCGCCGATAAGCTGATCCGAACGTTCGCCGAGCAAATATTCTACACCGGCTTCATCCACGCCGACCCTCATCCTGGAAACGGTGAGCACACCCCTAAAGGATGATGTCTCTCTGGCTCTCCCCAATCCTTCCGTCCCTGAGACATCTTCCTTTCCCTCAGTCTGTTGAAGAGGACACCGGCGGTAGAGGCAGTAATGGTTACTGATGGATTCTTTTTGTCTGCAGTTCTGGTGAGACGAGGTCCTGACAAGAAGGCCGAGCTGGTGCTGTTGGACCACGGCTTGTACGAGTTCCTCAGCCAGCGGTGAGGCTCTTCGGCTTCGTGCAGTGACCTGAGAACGTTTATCCGTGAGCTCTAACGCTGACATTTAAAAAAAAATGTGTTCCTTAGTGACAGAGCGGCCCTCTGCAAGCTGTGGCGGTCCATAGTCCTCAGAGACGAGGCCGCAATGGAGAAGTACTCCAGGGCGCTCGGAGTCAAAGGTGGGCACACCGTTTTGTTTGGCTATCAAAATGAAATCCTCTGGGGAAATCGCATTGCGACTGACCGCCCGATCTCGTGTCCCGGCCGGCCGCGCAGAGTACCTGCTCTTCTGCGAGATGCTGCTGCAGCGACCCATCGACATGCGGGAGCTCGGCCTGTCCAACATCCTGAGCCGGGAGGAGACCAGCTACATGCGGCAGATGGCCAGCGAGCGCTTCGACGGCGTCATGCAGGTGCTGAAGTCGATGCCGCGGCCCATGCTGCTCGTGTTCCGCAACATCAACACGGTGCGCAGCATCAACATCACGCTGGGAGCGCCGGTGGACCGCTACTTCGTCATGGCCAAGAGGTCAGTGTTCAGCGCCATTCAGCATCTGAAGGATGATGCTGGCTGCGCTTCTTCTGCCTCCGTACCGGATCGATGGCAGAAACGCGCGGCCCCAATTATTCGCCTATTGTTAAGACAACAACATGGAGAGATACGTTTCAAGGTGGAAAACGTGCAGGAGGCTGTTTGTAGGAAAGCTCACAGCACGTTGTCGAGCATCTTTGAGTCTCTGCTTGATGGAGACGGCGTCCCTCTTGTGCTGCAGTGCGGTGCGCGGCTGGGGGAAGATTCAGGCGGCGAGGACGGGGCTGCTGCCCAGGCTCTGGCTCTTCCGCTGGGTGAGGACGACATGGGAGGGCCTGAAGTTCCAACTGGCTTTAAGGTGAACATATAGAACGCAAGCGATGCCCTGTGATTGACTCCGCTCGAGGTCACTGGTGATGGTGATGATTATTCTTCCCTTCGACAGATGGGAGATGGCGGCGATGAGTCTGACGCGGTCCCTCGTGGGCCTGCTGTCCTACTTCGGTCTCGTATCTCTAGACGCAGACGTGTACGACTACCTGAGGTAGCGGACAATAAAGACCGTTTCCAAGCAAAGTCGATGCAATCCAAGGGGAGAGAGCTGTCCCTCCCTCCCTCCCTCCCTCCCTCACCTCCCCTCACCTCCTCCCATAGTAATGGTGCTGCTCACATTTGCACGAGGCTTCAACACCAAATGGACCGGGACTCTGTGGCTTCAGGTGTCACGGCTGACACCAAACTCACTTCAGTGACTCTGGACTCACCAGAGCTTCAAACTTTAGAGCCGACTGGACTTTAATTCACTTGTGGTTTTTTTAAGTGTCATTTTAAGACTCTGGAGAAAGAATCTAGGACAGCAAATGCTTTTATAAATGTTTTAACTGGTTTGTTTTAAAGGAATCTTTGCGCCGTCAAATGAAATCAATGGTTTCTGAGCGACGGCAGGAACCTCTTGCGTGTCGGTTTCTTCAGTCAGAGGAACAGTCCAGTGCCATCGAACCAAATCATTTTAAAGATTTAAACAATGCTAATAAAATGTTCTACCTCCTTCAATACAGGTACTTGTGTCTTACAGTTAAATAACGCACACACACACTCCGTACCATTAATATCTTTTATACAAAATATCCTCAAAACGTGGCTGCTCTTTTCTTTTTCTTTTTTCATCCAACAAGTAAGAAAAACAAATCAGGTTTGCACAAAGATGGCCATGACAAAACATTTCAATTTAAAAAAACGGCGTTCAGTGGACGAGACGTCGGAATGTGAATCTCAGAAGTGAGCCGTCACTCTGTCGACCTCAAGAAGGTCGTCCAGGATCTGGTGGAAACGAGAGGGAGAATTAGCACAAAGACGGCGGCCTCGCTGCCCCCCCCCCACCCTCCCCCCTCCTCTGTGCCGGGGCACTTACGATGTCCTGAGTGGTGCCGATCTTCTTGGCCAGCTCGCTGCGCTCCATCGTGCTGAGGTACAGGTACTTGTTGAGCAGCTCTCCGTCCAGGATGTTTCGCACGGCGTTCTGCAGGGTTCTCCTGTCGCTGTGCAGCATTCTGGGGGGTGGGGGGGGGGAACATAGCAAAGGGTCAGTTGCATCAAACGGCCGACCCGACAACCCCCCCAAAACCACCCCGGGCCGATGCAAACCTGAAGGCCTTGGGGTTGAGACCCGCGTGGTGAGGCAGCAGGGAGTTCAGAGCGTTCTGCAACATCAGCAGACGGCGATAGGTCTTCTCCTGCATGGGGAGGAGCAGGCCGACACCCCCGTCCAGCGTCGCTGTGGAAACGCAGATAAAAAGCATTTACTACATAAATCATACAGTATAAATGCAATGAAGCAGTTTTTCCTTCACTTCAGCGGTGTATACGAATACTATACTAATTTATTACATAACCTTAATATTAACTTTCTAACACAGCGGAGTGACTCGGGGGGCGTGGCCACTCACCGAACCACGTGATGTGCTTGTTGTCCCAGGTCAGGGCCTTTTTGCTGCCGCTGTCCAGCGCCCCCCTGCACGGCATCCGCCAGAAGGTGTTCACGTGAGCGCCGGCGTTGAAGTCGGCTCGGCGCAGCAGGCGCATCCCTCCGAAGCTCTCCTTAGCTGCAGGCACAGAGCGCGCGTTACACAAGGGAAACCCTTTGTTTACACCTGCGTTTACACGTCAGCGTCAACGCGTACCTTCGGGTAGGTACATGTACACGGAGAGGTTTTTGTCTCGATCCGACACTGCAAAGAAAGAAAGAAAAAAACAACACGTTGATGAGGAGATTCATTGGAATGGGGATTCGCTCCCCGAGGGTTTCCAAGCGTTACCCAGTAATCCCAGCTGGTTGTTGTCCACGATGAATTCGATGCTGTACACCTCCAGGGGCTTTGCGTCCTGTCGGCAAAGACGAAACGGTTACACTCCGGCAAAGACCCGCGGCGCTCCCACAACTTCCTCCGGATGGATTCGCTCCGTCCTCACCCTGCTGACCAGCGACAGCGTCTTGCTCTCCTGCTGGTAGCGCAGCAGCGAGACGCTTTTCATCACGTCGGCCGCCAAGATGAAGTTCTTGATGCTGAACATCTGGTGGATGTACAGCTGCGTGTCGATGAAGGCCATGCCCGTCAGGTCGTTGTCCTTCAGGACCCACAGGAAGATCTGCAGCGACACGAGGGAACTTACAACCTTCCATTGTTCTGCACGTTTACGTTCTTTAAACAGGAGTTCCTTTCTCCTAATGAAGTGAACTAGAAGGATTGTTGGTTGTGAGACCTTCTGTCCGATGGCCGACACCAGGTAACCGTGGCAGTGACACAAGGCCGTCACCGGCCCCTTCTGCTCCTTCTCATACAGCACTTTGAACTTGTTCTTGGTGAGCGGCTGGCCGGGCTCCGGCACCACTTCGATCACGTCGAGGATCACGATCTGAACCAAAGATGGAACCAAGCAAGAAGCTGTCAGCGGGTGTTTTCTCCATCAGGGACCAGCTATGTGGCGACCACACAGAGCGTCTTTTGGTTGTTTTAGCGCGCTGCTCACCCGGCCCCTGCAGGTGACCTCCTCCCCCTGCATCAGGCAGGTCCCCGCTGCGACGTAGCCCTTCAGCCCGGACACGGTCTCCTGACTCCTCAGGGCCACCGTCTTCATACAGGTCACGTGTTCCCACTCGTCCAGGTCGAACCTGGGGGAGACAGATTTGACTTGTCATCATTACCACACATTGAAATAGAACTTGAGTCGGTTTCCACTCCTTTCATGGATGGGTATATACAACGTTGGGAGTGATGACCAGAGACTTTCCAGTAAACCCATAAGCAACACCTCCAATGGGACACATTAAACAGTGTTACCAGCTGTGTGGACCTCACAGCTGCCTGATAATAAAACAAAGCTTTCTAATGACTGAGATCTAAAATGTTACCGCGTGTTTGGAATGGCCTCCCAGCTGACTGGAGAGATGAGCTGGATGGAGAACCTCTCCTGCTGAGGATTAATGTAACGTTCGTCTGCAGACACGAGAGAAACAACAGTCCACTTATTGGAGTTGAGGAGGAAACAAATCAATACGAAACACGTAAACATCAGCGCCAAAGTCAAAATACCAAACAATCAATCTGTATGTATGATTGGTTATAAATGAGACAAATAAATAGCAAACCATAGTTCTAGAAATGAAGTCAGATTATAGAACACACTGCATTGAGTATTTCTCACTTCTTTGGGGCTATTTGGAACTATTGTGTAATCGTGACATTAAATGTTCACGTCGTTCTGATGGTCTGTGCGTGTAAGTGTGTGAGTGTGTGTCTGACCTCGATCGATGGTTTCAAACTCCTTCTCCTCTCCGGTCATCCTGGGGATGCGCGTGCAGGTCTCTTTCACACTGGTGCACACGGCGTACACCTGAGAGGGAAGAAGTTCACATCAAAGACTGATCCTCTCAGTCCCCCTCATTGACCCCCCCCTTCCCTCCTACTACCCCCCTCACCCCCACTTCTCTCACACTAAGAAAACTTTAAGGCCCCGAGGCCTTTCATCTCAAACTTTCCAAAGCGGCTCGACCGATGTGCTTCTATTTCGCGTCGTGTTGTGCGAGCGGAGGGGATTTCTTTCAGCATCAATTTGTGTCATCAAGGTGCGGCGGGAGGGGGGGTGGGAGGGGGGGCTTGCCTTGGATTCGACGTGGTAGGAGACGTAGTGGACGGTGCACCTCAGCGGGATTTTTCGGACCGGCCAAGGAGCGTCGTAGGAGAGGTAGGTGGGAAGGACGCTGATCCTCAGCTCGCCCTGCAGGAAGGAACACACACACACACACACACACATTGTTACAACTTAATGAATTGTGCTTCACTCACTTTAATTCTCAGGAGAGTTGAAAGCCTTTGACGGCAGCTCCTGAAGTCATGGAAGGTAATAATTACCATGCAGCACAGCGAGAGGGAGTCCGGTGTACCTGTTTGTTGAAGTAGAGGAAGCCTTTGGGGCAGTTGATGTTGTGGAAGGGCGAGAAGGACTCGATGGAGCCGTCGATGCTCATGGGGTGGAGCCTGATGGCCCCGCGAGAGGTGACCAGCATCCAGTGAGGAGACGGCCCACAGATGAACACCTGCGGACGCCAGGAGTCATGGAGAGTTGTTTGGTTAATCAAAAAAAAAAAAAAAAGCGTGCGACGCCTCGCGGCGACGTGTGGCTCTGACGATCAGCTCCCTCACCCCCGAGTATCCGGAGATGTCCTCGAAGTATCGGAATCGGGCGATCCGACTTTTCGCCGCCAAACTCTCCTCGGCGGCGCCGCCCTCCCCCTTCCTGTCTTTCTTAAGCTTGGATTTCTTCTCTCTGAAGTTGATGTTGTGCGGCACCTGTACAAGGATGGCGTTAAAAGATTCAGCTCGCGCCAGGATTCCGCCCGGGGCCGACCCGGCCCTCGGCTCGGCTCTCACCTTTTTGAAGCGCACTTTCAGGTTGTTCTGCGGCTGCTGCTGGTCGTACGGGAACGCCTCGTAGATCAGAAGCTCCTGTTCCACGTGGACCTGGAAGGCGAGAAAAGGGGGTTGTTTTTTTTGGAACCCCTTTCCTTCTGTGTGGTTCGTCCACCACAGTCGCAAAAGGACTTCAGCACACAAACACTCACCAGTAAATAGGGTCTGCTGTAATTGTAGCCGAGTGAAACCAGAGCCACTTCTTTGACCAGGGGGATCTCTCCTTGTCGTGTCACTTCCTCTTTTTTACCCTCCCCCTGTGCTGCTGACTGGCCAGACGAGCTGTCCACCAGCACCCTTTGACCAACTGGGAAGTTCTTCACCAGGAAAACCAATCGCCAGTCCGGCAGCTGGTAAATCTGGAGGAATTACAAAGATAAAAGCATTAATATAAAAGGTAGCAGCATCAACGTCCTGACTCGTATAGTGTTTTAAGTGCCAAAAGGTGTAAGATGCCCCCGCCCCCCCGTACCTCCATCACACCGTTCTCCCGGATGATGATGCACCAGTGGCTGGGCTCCGATTTGCTCGAGTTTCCATCGCTTCCAAAACCCCCGTGTGCCCCGTAGCTCCGGCCCATCTCATCCCTTCCGTGCCCCGTGTTGGCGTTTGACTCCCCGTACAGCATTTCCTCCTCATCGTCCACTGTGTTACTACACACGCACACACACACACACACACACGCACACAGACAAAACGTCAGTGAACCCATAGAGAAGTAGGACGTGTAGCGACCGGTGGCGTCCTCCAGCACGCTACCTGAGGTCGTGGATGACGGTCTCGGCTTCGGACAGACTGCTGATGACGGCGTCGTCTTTGGCGAAGGAGCTGCTCACTTTGTTCTCCGTGGTGAACATCCCGCTCACGTCTCGGTACGCACACAGCGCGATCACCCGCGACAGCTGCCGAATTGTGCAGATTATCGGTTGTGAACGACGGGACTCAGACTGCGGTAGCGGGGGGGGGGGGGGGGGGGGGGGGGGTGTTGGTCAAATGAGGAGGGTTTACTCACTGTGGGGATCTGCGGTTTCTGCAGGGCCAGGCGGTGAGTCTTCCCCATGTAGGAGTCGGTCTTCAGCGCAAACA